CGGTGCATAATCAGAGATTACGTCCAATAGCCGGCGAGTGATTTCTAGGGATACTTAGAACTGGTAAATAACGCTCAAGAATGGAACAAGATCTTACAACCTTAATCCCTTCATCCCCTTCCCTCTCCTCCCATCTTCAAGCTCTAGATCTACTCTCAGCTCGATTAACGTTATTACAAAATCGAACACGATGGATAACTCAAATACCATTGAACGAAATTGCTTTTATGAGAGGTTGGACGATTACTGGGAATGTTAAAGTTGATATTGGGGGTTGGTGGATTGAAATGACTTTGAAAGAAGCTACAGAGTATGTTGAGAGACGGAAAAGAGGTAGGTCATCCCTCATTCGGTGTCAATCTTGCCCTTTTTACTATCTCCCTCCGGCCTATGTATCTTCTTTACTCTCCTTGCTCTACATCCCTTACCCTACATAACTCCCTTATCCTTCTCAAAGTTACTCCGTACTGGAGTAAAAGTTCACGACCAAACTATGTGATGGATACGAGACGTGGGCTGGTCGCTTGGATACCACATCTTTTTCTGGATTCCATCACTTGCTTACTCACTCCACTTAGGTCGTCAGGCCATCCGGTTTTGGGATTAGACGCCATGATGTCATCCAGCCTGGATTGATCTTTATAACAACAAGGTGATTCAGGTGGTATATGCTCACGTCAGCTTTGCTACAACAACATGTTCGGTATCTTGAAGGTCCTTCCTCTTCTTTATCCTCAGAATACCCTTCATCTTCCACTTCATCTATCTCAACAAAAACCGACGAAAATATGCACCCATCGAGAACATTTCCACGAACTCCAATCCATTTCAATCCTCTATACTCTCTTCCTTATTCCCGAGATGACCCTTCTTTGCCTTCCCCGCCTTCTGTTCTCCCGTCTCCGGCTTCGTCAAGAAGAGCGGATACTTCTATCCCGGTGGAGAAAGCTTCATCCTCGACCACAGACCGACTTGTTACTGCAATCTTACCGAATGAGGAGATACCTCTGACAAACGCCATCGAACATCCTGTCGTTCCCATCCCCTCTCCTCTTGCATCTTCGCATGAAAAAGCCAAGAGTCCCAAGACCAATATCGAGCGAATCAATCCTCCACCGACTGAGGCTAACGTGAGGTCAGTTGACACGGGGGAAGTCAACATATCGACCCCAACCATCAAAATCACGCCGGTAGAAACTGTGAAAAACGACGGTTCAGGTCTTCGAAACCTTCTTCAAGCTCTGGGGAAATTCACAGAGCCTCTTTTTCCTCTGGATTCTGTGGACATACCTACCTCGAGTACTTCCCAATCACCCTCTCCGTCTCAGTCGAAGTCGAAGTCTGAAGTATTGAGTCATGTAGATCCTGTAAGTGTTGATTTTGGTGATAAGAACAGAATTGATGATAGACTATGACGGAAGAAGGTTTACCCATCACTGAGATCCGAGAAGATTTCGAAGGTAATTTATTGGTTCCTATCCCTTCTTCTTCAGTCCTCCCCACCAATACTTTCGCTAAAGCTATCGATACATCTTCGTCCTCTCATTCCACAGAGAGGATAGGGAATGATACGGAAGGCACTCACGAGGAGGAAGGCGAACAAACGAAACAATATTGGTCCGACGAAGCGAAGAGAAGAAGAGAACAACTTTTCAAGCAAGTCTTTGATGATCTTTCTGATGAAGACCCCTTAGAAGATTATAACCCTCCACATTCAACTTTGGGAGATACCAATTTATCAACGACGAAAGTCAGCTCAATTCCTTCATCTAAACTCATTTCACCTTCTATGAGATCTGGGATCATCCCTCATGTTGACAGATCTCACATTGCTCCTCCGGCACTCAGTCCAATATGTGAAGAAGTCCCAATCAACTCATCGATCCCAAGTCCGACCACTCCACTTCAGCTCACCCCATCAGGTCCCAACTTACAAACCATCACATCATCCCTGACTCCCACCTCCGCCGAATCTAGTCCAAGTCCCTCATCACCTATTCAAGCGGAGAGAAACATTCCCAAGTCCATACTCAAACCTCCTTCTCGGAAGAAATCAGTATCGTTCGATCCTTCCCTTCCTTCCCCTCCTGACAGTCCGGAGGTGACTAGAGGAATGACGAAATACGGATTTCCCATACCTTCGCAATATGATTTTGAACAGGAAATCCCTATTCTGCCTGAGCCCCAACCTCGTCCAAGAGGTCCAATCGCTGTTCCTACCATCCCTACTATCTCTACCGCTTATCAACTTTCTGATCTCTCATCACAATCGTCATCTCAAGTTGGAGCTCCTACTGCGGCTCCTCACCCTCGGTCAAACGTCAAAGATGAGGGTATGTTCTCGGCATTCAAACGTGGTTTCCTTTCCAAACCCCCATCCACGTCGACCAAAGTCAACGGCCCAAAGACAACCAAAACCAAGATCGACCTTGTGCCAAAATCTCACCTTGCAAATCCCGCTCAATCTGGGGGTGGTATGGAGAAACCCGAGCTGGAGAATGGCGAGGAGAATGAAGAGGAAGAAGGGCAAAGAAACTTAAAACCAAGTTTGTTCGCTCGTCGTTTGGCGGAAAGTACGGTAGTGGAACGTGCACCTTTATTACCACCCATGTCGAAAAGTGCCGGGGGATCTTTGAAAGCTGGAGTGGTTGAACATCCCCCTGAAATTAGGTCAATGAAGTCACAAGATGGTAAAGGGGGGTCATCAAAGAGGGGTGTACTTGGGGGAGTACACACGCCGACAGTACGTTTGGCAGGCTATCAAAAAGCAGGTGGACCATTCGAAACTAAGCAAGAAACTATCGGTGTGCCTATTGTGAAAGCTTCCAGACCAGCTGCAGTCGCTGGCCACAACGAATCGCCCATCGCTTTTCCTTCACAAGATATACGACAGAATGGTGAATCAAGCAACCACGCTGACACCCATCAACCTCATCAACCTCGGGCAAAGGGGGTAAACCGCTTCGGAGATATTCAAAACCTCACAGGTGATGATGGAAACGACTCGGAGGAAGACGAAGAAGATTCCGACGATGGGTTCTTTGACGATGATGATGACGAGGAAGACGAATATGATTTAGATGATGCTCTTCTAGCTCGGGAAGTAGCTCTGGAATATCATCAAAAACAAGCTTATTCTACTTTCAATCGACATTCTGATAATGATGATGCCTTCTCTGATCCTCAAGACAGGCAGAATGGACTTGATTACCCAAGTATGTCTCACACACGAGGAGAGGTATTAGGAGAAGACGATGCAAAAGAAGATGGAGAAGAGAGAAAAGGAGTTTTCATAGGTATTCCTTCACTCGACATGACAGGTCAACCGATCAAAACTGATTATTCAAAATTGATAAGAGTTGGGAAATTAGAAAATGGGAATTTGGTACTTGCTCCAGGTGAAGAATGGAGTGATTCCGATCCTGATTTAGAAGGGTTAGGAGTGGAAGAGAAAGAGAAAAGGATGAGGAAAAGAGAAGTAAAGAGAAAGTTAGGGATGAGGTCTGAATTGCATTTTGAGGATGTCAAAAGTACATCTAAATTATCTGAGGAATTTGTTGCTCGAGACGAAGGATCTAACGAGTCATCAGAGGTATCTAAAGGGAAGAAAGGACTGGGTGAACTATTGAAGGTATCTCCAGGGAAGAATGGACTGCGTGAACTATCGAAGGTATCTCCAGGGGATACAGGAGTGGGTGACTTAACAAAGACGGGAACGATAGGGATAGTGAGGGAGACGATGGGAAAGAAAGATGTACAAGGATCTCAGATATCTAATGGGAACAAGGGGAGAGTAGGGGGGAAAGAAGGGGAAGGGAAGAAGATAGAGATGGAGGGTAAAGAGAAGAAAATGTCAAAGTTTAGACAAAGATTAGGATGATGTACTGACAAGTATCTATGTTACATGTTACATCTATCTCAGTGACAACTATTATCTCATTCCACTACTCGTTAATCTGCACGACACGCTCTTTTTCTGTATTATCCTGTTTACCTCCTTATATCCTTACATATGAAGGATTGTCGCACGGTCGTATGTCTCATCTCCGGAACTTGACATTTCCGATAATCGCACCAAATCAGATCCGACCTCTGTTGTGGTATCATCTTCTTTTATCTCCTTGTCTGTATGTTCATCTTCAGATTCGTTCATCTGAGGTCCATCCATCTATCAAATCAGCGAGTATCATACAAAGTATTCTTCGAAAACTAACCAAACGAATAAACTCCATCGCAATAACATTCTCTTTTCCTTGTCGTCTCTGTATATCAATAGCTACATTAAAAAACCCTCTAGCTTGTTTGAGTAAAATCGCATTCGGTATTTCCGTAGTCCGAACGGGAGAAGATGTAACCTCACTATCCGAAGTAGATCCAGATCTTGAAGAAACATTTTTCTCCTGTTGAAGCTCTTTTCCACGATTTTCAAGGTCGGATATATGTGTGATATGGGATCGAGAAATTATCGGTTGAGATAGATAAAAACTTAACATTCCAGCATAAGTATGAAGTGTTGACATATCATCATATGGTGGTGAAGGTATGTAAAGTTCAAGTTCATCTAAAGCTTGTCGATGTCGATTATGTTTTATAAGATGAAATATTAAAGAAAGTAATATTTGAGGTTTCTAATAATCAACCAAATTTTGAAAAATGTAAAATGACAATTCGTATATGAAAAAAAGAAACAGAAAAAAGAAAAAGAATAAAGAAAAGGAGAAAAGAAAGGAAAAGAAAAAAAGAAAAAAAGAAGAAAAAGAAGAAAAAAGGAGAAACTGACTTCATGATCTTTAGCTGAAAGTTGTAATGTTCTCAACCATTTTTCAACTTCAACATCATCATCCATCATTTGAGATTGTCGTATGGGGTTATAAGTTGAAGCTTTTAAAACTTCTAATCCCCAATACCATCTTGTTTTCCAATCGATTTCTCGACATTGAATCTTATCATTAGACCAGAATGATATGGATGAGAGATGAGACTTACAAGTATGGACCAAGCTCGACGAGCTCGATCGAGTTCACCTCGGACTAAACATGCATGGAACAGGGAAGATAGATTATGTAAGTATGTTGTTCTTATGGAATTAGGTTGATAAGAGTTGTTGGGGAGTAATGGACGACCAGGTTGTGTGGGAGTTTGTGATAATGTGTTCGGTTGTGGAGTTTGTAACGTTTTGTTGAGTTGTGATGATTGCGAAAATTGAAAAGGTTGAGAAGGTTGAAAGGGTGGAGAAGAATGAGAAAGTTGAGAAGGTCGAGAAGATCGAGCTGGTCGAGCAGGTTGAGCAGGTTGAGCATTTTGAGAAGGTTGGGAAGGTCGAGAAGGTTGTGAAGGTCTTGAATTCATAGATGTAGATGTAGAAGTATAAGATCGATTACTTGTACTTGTTTCAGAAAACAATCTACCTTTTCCACGACCTCTTCTACCTGATCCGGGAGTTCGGGGTAATAGAGGATTATGAGGGACAGCTAATTGATGAATTGTGTTTATATAGGGATTCAGGGATATTTGAAGGTGTGTATGATCGATTGACTGTACATCAGGTAAACGTCTTCCGTATGGGTATGGAGATTGACAGGTCATTCATTGCGCGTGAGTCTTGAGGCTGGGTGCATGGGAGAATGGTGGGGGAAATGTTTTTTTTTTTCGAAAGAGAGCGCGGGGAGGAGGGGAGGGATGTAGATGGAAAACAAGGGAAAGGTAGAGATGAGGTAGAGATGAAAGAGAGAACAAGGAAGATACATACAGATAAGAATCTATCCATTCCTATCCCGTGCATCGCTTGAGTGCAGTTCTATTTCCATCAATATACCATTCGACTCAACTCATATGTCCCATACTTTTAACACCCCCATTTGTGGACAAATCAGAATCATGGTGGTGTTGTATATTGTAGAGAGGGGACGACGTGGCGAGGAGTGTGAGCAAGGGGGACGACATGAGATGATGAATTTCAAACGACAAATTACACATTGAAAAGATGAGATGAAAGGAGGGAAGCAACAAAAGAAACCATGAGATCACTCACCTTTTGCCAAATGAATGGATCTTGTACAACCAACCTTCTCTCTGACCAATTTGAAGGTTGTATTTTATCCCCTTTACCCATATTCATCTCTTGTTTTATCCTCTCTTCTTTTTTACCTTTTATCTTATTTTCCAAAGTCGATCTTTGACATATCCCACCATTTAATATAGAAACAATTTGAGTTGAATAATTGAATCTTTCTCCTGTATCCCCTCGACCTTTTCCTTCATTTCCATTCCCACCGACTTTTACATTTTGAGATGAAGTAGGAATTGTTGATGGTGTTCTACTGAAAAATGAAAAGAATCCTCGGAAAGCATCAGCAGCTGTCAATCCTTTTACAGCCTCCCAATTTTCATCAGGTTCAGAATTGAAATCCACATGAGTTGGAATACCTTGATCTTTACCCCATCCGACCCAAACTACATCAGGATCTGTGGTGTTCCATGGATATGAAGGGATTGGGACTTTTATATGTGCTTGAAGATTTGGAAGAACACCTCGATGTTGAAGATAAGCTATAGCCATGAGAGTTAAACAATATGATGACATAGTAGCGGGTCCTAAAGAACCGGATGGATCGTTGATTTCTTTTGATGAAGCCCATAGTTTTAGACCGTGGATGAGAGGACGTAGGATGAAAGGAGAGATTTCACAATATGCTTGAATGAGACGGGAATTGTACCTGTATATCAGCGAGTGAAATGATCTCAAACCATCGGAGGAGGAAAGACCAAGGAATATGAGTAGCGAAAGGTGACGGTCGATAAGATGAAGAACAATGATGTTCAGAGGATAATTAGGTTGAAGTAGATGATGCTTTGATGAGGGTGAGAGATAAATATGAAGGAGGAAGGAGGAAGGAGGGGGGGGGGAAGAAAAACAGAGAAGAAGACCAAGAACAACTCACCATCCTCCCAAATCATTAACATTAATATCACATTTAAACTCTCCATGTGTGAATTTGATAATGGGACAAGTAGCGAATCGAATGATTTCAATATCTGTCATTCCATTCGCCGACAATTTCCGACTCAATTTAGTGAGATCGTATATATCTGGTAAATCAGGAATGAGGGGTATACGAGTTTTTCGAGAAGTTGATTTGGCTGGTTTCTCAGGATCAGGTGGTGATCTCCATAGAGAGGGGATGGTCTGGGGTCAGCCCAATCATACAAGTTGATCGTTTTTGTCTAGGGGACGGGTCACATTCTTTATCTCAGACTACCCTTGTTCCTTATTCGTTATTTGTCCTAATCGCTAGATAAGGGGGTCTTGATGAGCTATAGGAGTTGTATATAAAGGTGAAATGGGAGGTTAACAAGGAAGTTGGAAGAAGGAGCTCACATCCTTGAGGTAATTTGAGATCCTGTACATCAGCATACATTATCCCGAATGAGATCCTGCCCTGTTGCCTAATCCTCGAAAGGTTCGCTATTATGTTGTCTGCCGGGTTGATACCCGGAATGGTAGCCCCTGCTTGATAATCATGATGAGTGTACCAGGTCACAAAACAGCGTATCACTCGTACCATGACCCCATTATCCATCGGTCATTCGAGACTTCTGGTACTAAGGATTTGGATGGGGATACTCGGTGACGGTGGTCTGAAGAAGGTAATAGATTGATAGGAAAGATCACACTCACCCTAATGACCAAATCTAAATCCCCACTCATACCCGTTTGTCCACCCCAACTAACACTCCCATAAACGTCCACCTCGAACCTTTTCTCACCAAATTTATCATTAACGATCCCTTCTAATTTCTTCAACAACCCTAAAACTCTTTCTGTTTTCCCTATATCTGATGAATCTCTCCAACTGAGAAGTAATGAACTCTGCAGCGGATCGTCCGTTTGAGTCATTTGAATTGGTAATTTTGATCTTGGAGAGGAATGTATTTCACGTTGAAATGCTGAGGATATTTTATTTCTTGGGAACGGTTGATCACCTTGAGGTAATTCCCATGAAGATTTGTGAGTACCATGTACGGAGGTAGATGTAGATTGACTTGGTGTTGGGTTAAACATTAGTGGTGATTTGACTTGTGTCGATATGGAAGATTGATGTTGTGAAAGTAAAGAAGCTTCGAGTGGGGTGGAGGTGGAGGTAGAGGTAGAGGTAGAGGTCATAACTGGAACTTTCACCTTTCGTGGGATAGGTATACCAGGTGGATATCTATTAGATTTTCCATGAGGTATCAATGGATTGAAACCTTGAGAAATCAACCAAGCATCTTCATCGTCGGAATCTATATCGCTCGGGATAGTAGTTGAGTCAATTGGTATATCGCCTATTGAAGTCATGTTGACTTTATCGTGATTATGATCTTGATTATCACTCTTGTTAAACTCTTTTAAACCTGTTAAAGAATAAGTAGTACTAGTTGTTTCGGGGATTGTGATGAGAGAAGAATGGTGTGTGAGAAAGATGTCAGTCGGAAGGTTGACCCTAACTTCCGAGGGAGAATGAGGTTCAAGTCCTTTTTGTTCTCGTTTCCCTTTTAACCTTATATCAATCATATCAACTTTATCACCAATCTTCATAGTACTTGTAGTAGTGGTAGTCAGTAATTCCTCGTTAATACTGCTGATACTACCAATATCACTCATATCACTTAACCCATCAATACTTTCAGTATCAGAATCAAAACCCACTTTGATATCCTCATCATCATCAATCTCTACCAACTTTGCTCCTCCATCTTTCACCCCTGAGACTACTACCTTATCTTCCATTCCTATCAATAATTTACCCTTGTAACCTTGGGGTAACCCTATTAATGCTTCTCCTTTATCCCAGGCTTCCTGTTGTTTCTTCACTATCTCCCTCACCTTGGCTAACTCTTCCGGACCTAATTGTTCTTCTTCTTCAGTCACATGAGGTCGAAGTCGTGGTTGTTTCCCTTGTATCTTCCGAATATCGTCCAATTGCCAAGGAAACTTCTCGTAAACCCATGAGAACAACGATATAACTTCATCCACCGATGTCAGTGATATGAACGATTCATATTCGTATGGTTCTAGTGGTCCGTAAGGATAAGGATCAGGTCGATTTTCCACTTCAGGTTGAACCAGGGGATTCTTAGGTTTGAATCTCTTGTGTTGTTTTTGTTTCTTACCTTTTTCAATCTTTGTGGTTTCTGATGATTGTTTGATTTCAGCCTTGACTTCTAGTGATTCGGGGTTTCCTACTTTTGAAACGTCGGATTGACCATGTTGATCTATCTTACCCAATGATAGAGTCGAAATTCCCGTACTGACTTGACTTACCCCGCCTGTCGAAGTTGGACCAGATGTTCCCAGAGAATGAACGTCTCTATGTCCAACATACAAATCTGACCCCGCTACCATATTCTGACTTACCGATTCCCTTGAACCCGAAGGTTGATCAGGAAAACCTGATGTCATCCGTTCACCTAAAGCCAATGTATTACTACCTGTAGAATACCCACCTCGCTGTCTCCCTCGTTCGCCAAAGCCACGGGAAGTACGAATACCTCTGAATGGTGGACGAGGTCTCCAACCACCTCTCGGGGACTGCGATGGGGAAGGGGATGGTCCAGGGAATCTCATTGGGGGTCTGGGGGAAATTTGACCAGAGATAGACCATGGTGTTTGTCCCCAATTTGACCCAGAATACCCTGGTGAGGGTTGTTGAGGAGGTACTGACCATTGTTGAGAATCACTAGGCCAAACTGACTGAGTAGGTCCAGTATAATTAATTTGAATAGGTTCTTGCCAAGTCGATGCGTTTTGGCCAAAATTGGTTTGTTCACCAAACGTCTCTATCAACCTAGTAGGTTGAGATTGTAATGGTCCTGGCGAGTACGTCTGCGTGGACCAAGTATACGAAAGGACAGAGTTGTATATTCTCGAGTTAGGATGGTATGACCCACAAAAGTTTCTTGCGGGTGAGGTGAGTTTGAAGTTTTGCTGCTGACATGAGGGACGTAAAGGTGAACTTGCATATTGTACTGGAGATGGAGTAGTAGGTGGTAGTCAAGAGAATACGAAG